GGATTCGATCGGCGCGACTGTGATTCGAAAGAACTCTGACAGGGATATCCCTCCGAAATCCGCGGGAGGGATGTCACGAACGGGCTCCTCTGGAGCTCCGCTGCGGTAATTACGTCACATGCACACACACGCGCGGCACCCTCACAGACAGAGCCAGGGCTGACACTGTTCCCGGTGTTCCAGAAGCTCGGCTCCCTGCATATTATAATTTAGAACCATGTCATTAGGAATGCATATCGTTTATTGGATAAATATCATATAATAAATACTTCGCGCGGCGATCTGCACTGAAGGGTTAGGGCTTCGCCCCTCAGAGAGCAGAGACAGAGAACCGGTGTGGAGAAGCCATCCGCATCGATGATTAGTCATCAGTCATCACCATCATCGACAATCAGAGTCGCCATCTTGATTGAAAAAAAGTAATCAGTGAATTCGAGCGACAACGAGTTCTCAACCGGTGATTCGCTCTGAAAGTTCAAACCGCGGTCACGATAACTCTATTTATCGATTTCGGTCCAGTTATCGGACGATAGAGTCGGTTGCGGCCCCAGACCCCTCAGACCCGTCTTGGACAAGTTTCCCCGGAAATTCTACCCGGATCAGATCAGATCACCCGCTCTCGGCTCTCGGAGCTGAGGATACATCAAACGTGTACTCTCTTAGTGGTCAGGCGAGGTGTACCTCACAGTCACTACGGATGGACCTTGCATCGAGGAATGTGAGCTGGAAGGTTTCTGGATTCATGCGGAGCTTTAGTCGCGAACCGGAACACCATCTTGAGGAGGTGGATTTGTCGAGTGTCGATATTCAAGCGACGAGATTTGCGGTATATAAGCTTTTGTTCCCTTCAATTAGGAAGCGATCGGTTCGAGTTGGGAACCGACAGTGAAGGCAAACTCAGATCAGGCGTTTGTTTGGGATGTATCATGAATTTCAGAAGTCCTAGGACTGGGACGAACGTCTTGAAGAATCCCATCTCAAGCCACAAGCAGAAAACGCTTCCGGCCTCCAGCAAGTCCAAAGCGAATAGAATCATATCGGGCCTGATTGCGCTCGGTATGCCTTTTTCATGCTGCGATCGCTTGGCCTTCCGCGAAAGGTTCAAAGATGCTGGGTATTGGAACATCGTCAGACACGCAGCGGCTTTGATCCTTGATGCAGAGGCCAAAAATCCTCGATTTCTTCTTATCATGGACCGGCTGAACTTGAAGAGAAATATGACCGGGGAACCATTTCCACATTGACTGCCGATGAGTCGTCCTCCCGGAGAAAGCGATTCATCGGGGTGACATTCCATTCGACGAGAGAAATTCCACGCTTGAAATACAGCGGGCGCCGCGTCTGTGCTTATTCGCCTAATATCCCTGGTGTAACCCAGTAAGTAAGACCCAGTAGGCCGAAACTTTCACGCCGAAACCCAGAAAGCCGAAACTTTCACGCCGAAACCTGGAACGCCGAAACCCAGAACGCCGAAATTCGTCTTTCCGAAACCCAGTACGCCGAAAGTTGAGGTAGCCGAAACCCTAAGGTGATGAGTCTGACGTTCGAGCCGAGGAACCGGATCGCGAAAGAGCGCATCGGTCGGGCAGTGGGGCCGGCGTTCCATGAACTCAGAGAGGTATTTACGGGCGGGCTCTGAGCCTAGTAGGGGAGGCTTGCACTGTTTCCGTCAGAAGTCATGCGAATATCCATGCGATCATGAAACTCAGCAGTGGCGTGAGGCGTTAGAAAGTCATCCTGGACTGTAAGACCCGCCGGAATAGCAGCTTGGCAATGATGCGGTGATTTCTAGAGCTGAAAGATAAGATGAGACAAATTCACGGGACTCATTCTCCGCGAGGTCGCAACTTTCCTGCCAGAGATACCGATATGGACGCCGTCGTTGAAATGGTGGAGGATCTCTGCTCTCTGCGAGTTCGTGGCTGCAGCACTGCAGGGGAAATTCGCGTACTCTATTCTCGGCTGCGTTCTGCAAGCATGTATCATATATGGGGCTGTGCGATTCATGCACAAAAAGAAGAAATACATGGAGGAGTGTATGCATGAGAACAGATGGCTCGTTGCATTGACACGGCGTCGACCCAATCGACACGTTGAAGCACGCAGAGACGACAAGGAAGGTGGAAAACCAAAAAAATGCCGAACATGCAATACAAGTTGAACATCGTGACATGCCCTGAAATCGTCGAGATGTGCATTTATGCACGAAAATATGCATTGCATATAGTGCTCAGCCCTTGATATTGTCGAGCTCCATCTGCGTCATAATCATTTAACTATCGCATGGCTCAACAGACACCGCTACAATCGCATTGAATATCGCATCCAGGATCCGCAATTGTGTTGAGGAGCGTGTCCCGACTCTCGAGAGGAAATTGGCGGAACGCTGTTTTCTGGTTCATTCTTGGGGCAATCAGTCACGACAAAATGAGAGAATTCACTCTCGTCGGAGACCTCGCGCCCGAATTCCCTCGCCGAATTTCGCTGCAGATTTAAGATTGCTTAAGATGCGGGTTACCGAATGAGGCATTCAATCGACCGCCGATCAAGAAATACATATATCGACCGCCGATGTCTCGCCTTCGCTTCAACTCGCGAAATTCTCTCCGTCGAAAGTCAGGAATTGAGGGAAACCTCCGTGCTTCCACCAGAAGGCTAGTGACGAGCATGACTTCCGCGCTGTGGGCATGTCGTAGACTTCAATCTTCCGCCGAATGAACAAAGCCCCGAGAAGGGTCCAAGCTCACTGTCAAATCTCCGCCAGTCTTCCCACGCCGTCTTGCGCTATTGAAAAAGCTTGAGCAAACAGAACTTCCAGAAGGCATTTCTTCCTAAGAATTATCTTCCCGTACGACAAAGGTTGAATACCGATCCGTGAGTTAGCGCTTTTTAATCGACCTCGACTCTTAATCATTCGAGATCGAGAGTGGTGAGACCGAGCGGAGTTCATGACGTCATCACGGGTATCTAGCTCCGTGGAAGTATTGGATCGCACTCCCAGCAAATGGGACGTAGTTCCCGTACCGTATCCTCGCCAGAAGGCCAGCGAGGAGCGTCGACCGAGTCAGTCTGATGCTCCGAAGGATCACTGGAATCCGTCGGAGAGTCCGCTTGAATCTCGATCGTCCTGGGATCTCGGAGGAGTCTTCCGTTGGGTCTGTCGAGCCTCTCTGCCCGAGTTCCCGTACTGCAAGTGTTATGATGCCAACGATTGAATATACGTTTTTCGGGAGCTCGGATCTACCACGCGAGTCTCGCGCGGATGCGAGCACCGCGACTGTTCATTGATGATAGTGATCTATGACGGCTGTCTTATGTCGATACGCGACTATGCCAGCGATTATACAATAACCTCGCCCAAAGGCCAGCGGGGAATGTCGAACTTCTCAGCATGATGCGCAGAAGGATCACTCGAACCGGTCCAAGTATTCCGCTTGAATCTCGATTGCCTCTGGGAATCTAGGGACGCGTGATGGTGGTGGTATACCCGACGTTCCCGCCTCTCTTCTCGAAGCAACCGAAAGGTCCTTCTCAAATTTTTGGAACTTAGTCGGACCTAGCGTTCCTGAAATACTGACATCATGGAGTTCCGGGGGTCCGGAACCCCCCCCCTCACCCCTCGCCCCAATATGTCTTCGGACAAACCACTTCATGTGGTAGACTCCAGTACCTGTGGGGCTCCTATCGGCGGGAATTCGACGTCAAAAATGGGCTTGGATGCACCGCTGTCATGGAACATCATCTTCGCTAGACTCTAGACTTCAGATCCTGTTCTAGAATCAGGATCTGACTGAGGTATCTGTATTCTGTATCCTATTCGAACAAGTCATTGATACTTTTGGCGCGTTCCTCAAATCAATAATGGAGCTCGCTTGTCGCCATCATGCATCTCACCTGAGTTTCGGATGGGCGAAGGACGCTACGATTCTCACAGCTCGCATAAATCGAGTTCCAAGCGCTCCCCGGGGCGCAGGGCTGCCTCGACATCGGAGTTGTCCACAGAAACAGACGCTTCCACTGGTGTTCTCATGAGAATTTCGACCTCGCGTTGGGCTCCACTTGGACAACCCACATAATTACGGAGCTAAGTGGATGTCTTCCCGGGTTCTCGACGGCGGACTTGCGCTCCTGGTCTGCGCGGAGCGGGAAGTCTTTCGGGGCCATGAGTGCTCGAACATCCCATGAACCGGACCCTCCGCCTCAATCTGGGAGTCTACCGGAATGGTGAAAATGCATCGCTGTACCGGTTCGGGATGTCTCAATAACTCTCCGAGGAAGACCGAAATCCTCTCTCATTCGATATTCAGAAATAAACGACGGCTCGGGAAACATCGTTCAGAGACGTTGCGGAGACCTGTCATCTCTTTTGAAGCGCCTGCCCGCTCCCCATTCCCTCAGAAACACTTCATCCTGAGCGGGAGGGAAACGGATTGGGATCAAGTTATTCGTCATCAATTCGATGGTGGTCAATCCTTGTTTCATTACCCTCCCTCCGAGTTCTTCTTTGTCAATAACCGCTCGTGGGTTCGGCGCGCGGCGCGCTTAGCCTTTCGCATTTGCCCGGGATTCGTCTGGCGGTCGCCATGTTTTTTGGGATGTGTGGCCGCGTTCCCGTCGTCGTCGAAATCAGAGAAGAAGAGGACGAGGAGGAGAAAGGGGAGGAGGAAGAGACGATGTTGTCGCTCGCTGATGATCATCATCGTTACAAGATCACTACAGTGTGGATCGCTGCTCTCTCTCTCATTTTTTCTACAACATGTTTGATGCGTATTCTGGCGGCGGTGGTGGTGGTAGTGTGCTGCGTCGTCTCCGCCGCGCGCAAAGAATCGATTGACAGACTGAGCGGTTTCCGTCGAATGATTCTGTGGTCGTTCACACGTTGTGGTCGAGACCGTCTCGCGGAAAATTGTGAGAAGTGAACGGAGCGAGTGCCGCCGAATTCGTCACGATGGCTCTCACATCCTGAGACAGTCGGCGCTGGACCCACCGACCAGTCACCCATCTCTTCGTGCCAGGACGGCGAACATCTGCCTTCGCGAGGAACACGGTGAATTGTCAACCCGATGTTAGGCCGAGAATCGATAAACACAATGCCGAATCAGACCACCCGCGTTGGTTTTTGGTGGGTGGACAAGAAGGAGGATGACATCCCTTCGAAAGTTCTCCGGGAACGTCTCAAGTGAGTTTCTCCTATGGTTTTATTCCTCCTACTTAGATTCTTCTCAGCATCGACTCCTCTAGACGTACCGGAATCTGACGTTTCGTTCTCTTGCTCGTTGCAGGGTGCACGGCGTGGAGCTCGTCAAGGTGAGTGCCGAGAAAACTTCCCCATGCGTTCGATTCGGCAGGGAGTCCCTCAGTTTTCAAAGACAGCGAGTCATGGCTCAACGTCAATGATTGAATTCGACGTTCGGTCTCGAGAGCTGTACAACACCCGAGACCAGACTGTTGTCCAAACAACTCATCCGACGGAAAACACTTCCTCGGAACTCCGGATCAATGAAATTCAATCTCTTGCCTCCGGTTCCGACGAAAGCCCTGCTTTCATGGAAGGGTATATGATCATTTTGATGGTCGAATGGATCGAATTCTATTTTCCAGTTGGATCTCGGCCGTCCATTTGAAGAACAGGGTCCGTTTAAAGTCATCGTCCATAAACTGTGTGACATGCTTGTCGCGGAGATCGGCGGCGATCGAGAAGCCAGCAGAATCTGCCAGGAATTCCAAGTAAGCCTTGAGTCATTTTCATTCGTCAACATATACTAAAGAGGATCTCCACCATGAAAGATACCTTCCGGTCAAGGAAAACTCGATCGTTTCCGAAAACGAATTCCAGGCCTACTGCGCAGCTCATCCCGAGGTCCGCATTCTCGATCCGCTGTCATCGGTGCGTCTCATCTTGGATCGCTTCAATCAGTACGAACTTATCAAACAAGCGTTGGATATTCTTCCTGATAAGGACATCTTGGTACCTCCGTTCGTCCGTCTAGAAAAGCCGGATCCCGAGGCCAATGTCGGAATAGTTCGCGCCAACAGACTGCGATTCCCCCTCCGTAAGGTTTCCGAAGCCGTGCATGGATCCCGCAGCGAAATTATTTATCAGGGAGCTCATGGAATCTCAATCGCAGCGAGGATTCAAGCATGGTTTATGCACGCGTTTCAGTGTTCAAACACATCGTTGCTCACGGGAGTCGCGAAGCCCACCGCATGTTCCTCATAATGAACGAGGACGGTCTGCGGAAACTAGATTCTTTCCCGTGCGTCGTGCAACAATATATTCCCCATGGTTCTGTGCTGTACAAGGTTGGTATCACAAGTCGTATGGTCTCCGCGATAGAAATATATTCGATTGTCCCTACCCAGTGATATTTTATGAGACCTCCAAGGGTCATCAATAATTCCATTCCTGAGATGAATGCTTACCTTAGGTCTTCGTCGTGGGTTCCTTCTATCAGACCATACGACGACCCTCCCTGAAGGATGTCGAGACGACATCGACTTGTAATTTGATCGAATTCAATTCTCACGACATTTCGAAACCGAATTCGAAGTCACCGCTGACTGATGTGAGTAGATTTGGATCATTATTGAGCTCATCGATGGGAATCGGTTCATCTTGGCTCCTGAGAGTGCGAATCAATGAGCCGGAATCGCGTGCGAGATCAATATCGAGCATCGATGATTATTCGGCGGGACTCTCAGAGCATACAGGTGTGGTCGAGCTCCAATTTCAATGATTCGTATGTTTCAGAGGGAAGCTTGGCTCCGGCCAGATGAAAGAGGGGACGCGCTGGTCTCATCCGATCGTTTGAAAAGAGCCGTCGACGTTTTGGTTCGGGCGACGAAGCACACACTCTGTGGGATCGATTTCATACTCGAGCAAGACACGGGGAAACTCTACGTCTTGGACTTCAACAATTTCCCGGGATTCACCGGAGTCGACGATATCATCGGCGAGCTCACGAGACTCATACTCCACGAGGCCGGAATCACTTTCTCGAATGGGAACCAATCCAGTTGAATTGAGGGCTCGGGACTCGATTTGCTCACACTCAGAGACTTACACTATCGAAATTCGTTCGCAGCGATTTCGCTTGCGACTTACGCAAGTGCCGAAAACCCTCGAGTCCGATTCAGGGTCTCAACGGGGGATGTTGCTGAGCCTCCTAATTCTCAATTTGTGCTGCAGGGGAGAGTTCAGAACTCGACTTCCTGACACATTCCCACGGCTCGAGTCAGCGCGAGCGCCTTGTTGCCGCTTAGCCGTCATCCTAGGATATTAGTGAATACGGAACAGGAACTTGCAGTGGTCAATCCGACGGACAGCTCCGATATTCCATGGGTGTATCCATCGTGAGCTCCTCGGGAAAACCATACACACATCAGAATTTTAATCGTCCACAACTACGTTTTATGATTTTTATGAGAGGCTCCAATCGGCTATCGGTGACCCTGTTGGGAGCCGTCACTGCTGGAATCCTAATAAATGTAAACTGTGCCAAATGCGAGTTATTATCGGAGTTACACAAGTCTCTTGGATTTTGCATATCTGAATCATACATGGGACTTACGCCGGAGGACGGAGCGGGATCTTCCCGAAAGAAAGAATAACCCTTCATGGGCTCATCAGACCCATTCTCGGGCCAATCGCAGAAAGACTCATGGCTGACAGCGTTCGATCTCCGAAATCTCCGCTCCTGTGCTCCCGACTCGTACTCGCCCCTCGATACAACGAATTTAGGAGCTTCCGAACGAGCAGGATAATGCGCTCATCTTCGCAGATTGTACCGTGGTACGAACGGAGAGAGGATCTCGCCGGCGGTGCCGAGATCCGGGGACTGGCGAGGGCAAGCTGAAGAAATGAAGACGAGCAATCCACTACGATCATTGGACTTCAATCCTTTATTGTGAACTTCACCGTGGGTTTTCGCGAAAATTGGAAATCGGCTCAACACGCCTGCTCCTCCACGTAGGTCCCTTCCCTCAAAAACCTATGGACGATGCTACGACAGGCCGTCGTTGGAACAATGGCTGGATGGACGACGGGAGAATCACTTAAAAAAATCAACAGGCTGAACAGACAGCTGTATAAACATGCTGAGCGCCTAACTTCTTGCGCACTTGCAACAGTTGGTAGATCAGCTCTATACAAACACATCTCTCATCCATCCCTGAGCGTCAGGGTAGAAATGCCTCATGCGCCAAAAGCACTTGCTAAAATTGTGGTCTATAGTTTCTTGATTCTATGATTATTCCGGGCTGTGATCCCTGATACCGGGCTTGCTCTATTAAGACGTAAATTCGAGTTGGAGCAGTAGAGGATTGCTGGCTGGAAACCGTGCATGAGCCAGTAGATTAGAAACTAATTCCTGAGGAAATCTCGTGCGATGAGCACGGTATTGCACTACGCGTAATAGGAGGGAGAAACAAGAAGATCTGTGATGACCGCTAGCTGCTCTTCGCTGAACTTGTTCTTGTGGTCCCGCCAGTTGTCGTGATGTGTCCGCTTGAAGTCTGAGAGTGTATTTTTAATCGTGCTCTGCGGATGGAGAACGGTGCGTTGTAAGATCTGGTCTCGAACGGAATAACTTCCCTTCCACATTCGACTGATCGGATCATGACGCTGAATTCCTTCCTCGGCACGAATCGGATTACCCCGACAGGAAAATCGATTATCACTCACCGAAATTGGCTGCGGTGCTTGGAGGTGGTCGGCCAGCACACAGACGACTTCAGGCATGGACGCCGGAACATCGTAGGGGTAGGCGTTGATGTAGGCACACAGCAGAAGAATGGCCGCGTGGTAATCGATAAGGAGCTTCTGCTCTTCGTTGATCTCGTCTCCTTTTTTCTCATCTTCGGAAAAAAATACATGTGTCATTCGATATCGTCCGATGTCTGCTCGGTTCTCGCGGATTTCGTCAGGGGACACTTACCAGCGTTATTCGTGATTATGTTCGTCACGGAGTTGCTCCGTCGGCTTTCGATGGCCTTCTGCCGATAAGCTTTGAAACTGCGCGAACTTTTCCGAAGTCGTTTCTTCACTTCGGTCAGAATGTCTTCTGTGATTTCGATTAGCCCGCAGTGGATGAGGCCGGACAACGCGGCCTGAGCCGTCGTCCGAACCTCAACGCGTTCGTCGTTGATGGCCCTGAGCATGGGTCAGAAACATTATCGACACATGAATCCCGTATGCCCAGTTTGCGCGGGGCGTTCCGAACATGAATCGTCAGGAGGAAGGTTTTCAGAATCTTACCGCAGACCGATCTCCCGGACATCGTTCGCGAGCTTTTCATTGGATGAGATTGCGAACAGGTTGCTGAAGGTGGCGAAACGGAACAGCGAGATCGCGAATTCTCTGACCTGCAAGGTGAATGTATGGTGAGCTCCAATAAACCTGGCCACGACGCCACTGTCATCAATATCAACATAATATGCATGCGTGAAGCGGCGCATACCTTCCAGAAAGACTCATCCAGGCGCTGTCGGACTTGATCCATGATCGCTTGCAAGATGGGAATGGATAGAATCTCGCACCCGAATAAAGTCACCATGAAGCAGCAATCCTTCTTGAGGAGCTCGTTCGTGGTATTCGCAAACAACCGGCAAGCGATCGGCAACAGGAAGAGAATTTCTTTCGGATTTATGCTCGAATTCGGTCCGACACTTGCGATCTGCCACTTCAGAACTAGAATTGAGAAGGCAGGTCTGTGATTAATTGTCTTAGGGTGGGGTGCCGCCGCCTCTGAGGTCTGATTCTGATACTTGACGGCAGAATGGTGCTCCGGGCTCACTCACCAGTTTGGAATAGACGTTTGGCCACCTCCTTTTCCTGATCTTCGCTATTGTACTCGAGACAGAGGAAACTCTGTTTGATGGACGTCAAGAAGTCCATGCCTCTCGGCGATAGAACAAAATTCTCCGGAACGTCAAATGGCGTCAACTGACCGTCGTTCTTCCGCATATCGCAAGAGAAAATGTACGCTAACAAGTGTGCTATGCGGTGTCGAACATTGTGGTAGGGGTGGGCGAGATTCGGAGTGATGTCCGCCAGGAGACGGTGAGCCAGTTCCATGGTGCGCCATGACATCTGCGAGACACCGCCCAGGAGGTAGTACATCTTGCACGCTTGTTGGAACGCAGTGCCATCAAAAATCCCTCTCGAAATCAATTCGAAAAACCAATAGTATTTGTTGCAATCACGAGACTCGAGGATGGTGGCTACGCAAACGCCCCAATCGGTCACGGTTTCCTGCAGAATGTTCGCGCTGCCGGCTTCCATCAGCGGGACCACATACTTTGAGAGCTTCTGATTCATCGAGAAATCCCAGTGTTTCGCCCCTCGCACCAACCCCGCTAGGATTTCGAGAGCACAGCGTTGCTCTGACTCGAGTTTGCTCCTCTTGATGTGATTGTCCAGGAAAGGAGCGAAATTCTCCAGGAAGACATCCCCGTAGTTCCGGAACAGCATTTTGAAGAGGGCGATTCGTTTTCCGTTAACTTTATCCTTGTCTTTGTTCTCTTCGATCGACAAGTAGTTAACGAGCTTCGTCACGTATTCAGAGTCCGCGAAGCATTCGTATATCACCTGCTCGATGGCGTTCATATCGCCGGGTTTCGCGACCCCGGGCTGTTCGGAGTCGGGCGCGTAAACTTCCAACTCGTCCTTGAAACCGCTGAACCCGACGTGAGGTTTATGCACGAAAATCGCACGATCCCATTTCTCCTGGGTATCCGGATGATTGGCCGAATTGAACTGCAGGAACGTGTTGAAAGGACGCGGTGTTCCGCCGGCCAGGCACTTCTCGAGCACTGGGCTAAGGGGTATCGATGCGTTGATCTCCTCGAGACGTTTACGAGGGATCTTGATTTTCTTCATCTTCCGTTTCTGCTGGTAGAGGATGCCGGCGAGGATATCGATACAGATCTTCCGCGTTCTCAGTTGTTCGGAGATGAGGTGGTTGGCGACCATCCTGACGGTATCGATTTCGTAGTGAACATCGTCGCGCAGGAGCATTTTGATCATAACAAGCCCGAAGAAGTGATGGCGCCAGTGCCTGGAAAAATTATAATTGAGGCCGAGACTCGTCGGAGCTCAGGAGGAATCCGCTGTGAACCGATCGGCTGACGGACCGACGAATCACCGGGGAAAACCGCATTCTTGACCATCATTCTTCCGCAAATCAAAGGAACTCACAGTTTTCCGCTTCCGATCAATTCCGTGATTTCGGACACCAACACTCTGTAGGAGTCCTTGTTCGGGGCCCCACTCTCAACACAATCCGCGGGGAAGCGACTCGGGTCGAAAAAATCACCGCTGAATCTCCTGGCCTTCGCGATGACGTCTATGGGGACGCGTGTGATCATCGGGAAACTGTCCATATAGGTGATGAGCTGGAAAACCATATTTCAAAGGGAATGTCAGTCGCATCGAGGGCGATTTGGTTTGGGCATACGCAGAGCTCCCCACCCTACTCCCTGATAGGAGGAACCGATGTAATCAGGGACTCGCAGAACATTCTACTGACCTGCTCCTGCAAACGGGCGAGCAGGCAGATGATTGACGGTTTTTCGGAATGGGGCGCTTGGATCAGTGCGGGCCAGAGTTTCTGCGACGCTGCCCAATTGTTTGCGGGGAATATACGATAATGGGTGTTGCCAAGAAGAGTGTACAAAACTCCTTTGTATTCGTCGTGGGTCATGTTTGGGCTCGATAAGAGTCCGCAGATATCGTCCAAAAGAACGCTATAACTCCGTGGATATTGAGAAAAAAACTGGTTCAAAGACTCTTGTGCGTGACAACGGACCTGTAAAAAAACGAGTGTCCTCTCTCAAGAGTCCCCGACTCGATCTCCTTCCGCAGTGGCTCCTCAACCATGAAACTCAAGATGAAATCCCGAGACGGATGCTCACATGTGAGTAGTGGGAAATCGCCATTCGGTATAGAATTCTCATCGCTCTGACATGGTTTGATGTGAATTGCGGTAGCATCTGGTTCAGCCGGATCTTATGCTGCATCCAAGCGCGCTCTGCGAGAATATAGATCGTGAAATAGAAATCTCGAGGGAATCACAATTCTCACAAACGAACTCAATTCCAACGTTTGTATATTTAAGAAATTGATGAGTGATCATGCCCACGAACCTGTGACGACGTGTTGGATATGGCGCAAATCTTCGACGCAAAGAGGGTGATCCAGGATCAAGGCGTTGAGTTTTTGCAAGCGGAAGGTGAGCTCGTAGTCCGCCTTGGAAACGCCATGGAAGAACACGAGCGAAGATATTGTCCAACTCAAGGTATTCAAGGATCGTATGTCGTCCTCGCAGACCCTGAATATGGTGTCCATAACTCGCTCCATAAGATTCTGGACAGGGAACAGATGGAACAAGTTATGCATCGGTGAGCAGGAGTCGTCGAACTATATTCCAGGGCTCTCTGCACCAAAGCGCGCTATCTGAAGACTATGGTCCAAAGATCGGAGCGGAGCGCCGCGGGCACAAAAAACTAGAGCAAAAAATGAAAAAATCGGAATATTTCACTCACGAGCACATCTTCACGTAGATTCTCATCGAAGCATCTCTGGCCAAGGGGTTGCCTATGCTTGAACCTCATCGGTGTCTTGGTGCCGGTAACGTGCATCGGTTCGCCTTTGAGCGGGGGCAGGCTCGATCCGAGCCCCACGATACAACTCCAGACCGCACACAGAGACTTCGACAATCCTTCCTTCGTCAAGGGATTAGCCTCAGGGTCTGAGCACCATTTGTCCAGGAGTTCCATCTCCGGAACCACACAAGAGTCGAAAATCGCTCTCGCCACCGCCAGGTCAGCATCGGAGGCTTGATGCCAATCTATTTTCATGGTCCTGAGGTCGGAGCTCTCGCCCCAATGGAGGATCGGGGGATCGGACTTATCCAGCTGAGTGGGAGTCACCGCTTCGCCGAACGGCATCGGGTAGAGCGACACGAGACGGCGGAGCGTCTGATTGAGTATCTGACATACGGTGAGCGTTCCTAACTTTGCCGTGAGCTTCAGACCCCGTTGCATGACGCGGATCAGGGTCGTCGCATGACCGCGCAATGCGTCCGCCGTCGCTCCGAGCGCGACGTCCGCTAGGATGATGAGGGAGAAAACCAATTCGTTGTCGAGTTTCTCCTCCTTAAGAACTTCGTCGGACTCCATGAGCGTCAACGCGAGCTTACTGAAGTGCGGGAGGAATACCTCCACAGCGTATGCCGGGTTCGCTGAAACTGCGCAGCGTACGATTGTGGAAACCATTTTTCCCGCGACCGGATCGAGGATTCGATTGTTGACGAAGCTGTAGAGCTTATCGACCGCGGAGCGGTAGAGGCACGGCGGGCACTGTCGAAACACTGCCTGGAACGTCAGTCGCATCTCCATAGCGGTGCTGTCGTGTTCTTTCGACGATATGGTCTCACGTTGATGATTGGTTTCGGCGACGATGTTCTCAATGACGATGAAACATCTGCCCAACAATTCGAGAACGAAGTCCTCGAAAACACTGGTGGCCAGACAAATTTGCTGAAGCTCAGGGGCGACGTCGTCCGCGATCGGAGAGCAGTCGACCAGAGGCATCATGTTGATGAGCGACGAGATCAATCTGAAGGTCACTGAGGTTTTCCGCGAATCGTTGGAATCGATCCCGGGAAGACATCCCATCAGAAGGCTTGGCACGTCCACCGAAGTGCTCAACGACGTGTGGTTGAGGACTAGGGGCCGCGAGGCGAATTCCAGAGAGTTGAGCGTCGAGAGCAGCCGGTGGGGCTCAGTGACATTGCAGAGAGCGTCGTTGAGCTTCTCCACCAGCGGAGGTATGGTCTTGGCGGGTCGCAACGTGGCGAGTACCCGCAGCGCCTTGTTCGAGCTGAGCGCCGTCGATTTCGAGAAGATCGACGTCAAGACGATCGGGCGTACACTATCCACGAAAGCATCGATGTCGGCCTCGCTCAGTCTTTTAGAGTCCGGAATTGGGGTGCGCCATGATTTTGCTTTGTAGCGTTCGATGTAGAGCCTCTCGAGAAAGAGATCTGTGAGTCTGCTTAGAAACTTGTTGAGCTGTCCCGACCAGCTTCCCTTATTGCTTGGATGGAAAAACGATTCAACCGTCTTGAAAAGCTGCTCGAGATGTTTCTGAGCTGAGGAACCACCCCCGAGACAGGCCACGATCCACCTGGTGAGGTGATGGATCTCGCAATTCGATCCCGCAGAAAATTTGTAGACTTTGAGGAATCCGCTACCGTAAGGTAGGTTGAACGATATGAGCAGCCGAGTGAACACGTGAGGTAGATAAGGCTCCCAGTCGATATGGCCGATGTTGTCTTCGGCCAGTCGTGCCAATAAGCCACCCAGGATCCATTGACACTTCCCACGGCGGTCTAGCAACCATACGGACATGAGTCGATCGAACCAGAGTTTCCAGCCCTTGTCGGCATGCTCCGGGGGCAGAGTTGTGGGTAGAAAATGCTTGAAGTAGCGATATGTCTGATCTCTTTCGTTCTCCGTGGGGCAGATATTGACGAGCCATTCGTCGAGCATTTCCTGAGTGGCGGACAGAGGGAAGTACGGCCGACACGCCCGTATCAAGGAATTGATCTGAGTGTCCAGGTCCTGAGTGTGGTGTTGAAGCCCGTAGAACTCGGTGTTGTCCCGCGCGCAGCGCTCTGACAGTTTGAAGAGCGGACGCCATTCCACTGTCAGGTCCGCGGGGGAGAGGAGGGTTTTCTTTCTGAAACTTTCCAACGGTGCCGCAATCTTCAACTTCGAAGTATCTTCAGTCGAGCTGTGAATGTGACGTAGCAAAACGCAGTTACTCGAAATGCATGCAGGACTGGAAGACATGAAACCAAACACGCACGCCACGAGTGAATAAAGAAAGTCCGCGCATGGATTCCGTCTCCGTGAAGAGCATAATCTAGGATCACGTTTTTCCGTCCCTCGGCGGAAATCCCGGGGAAATTCTTTAAGAAGCCCCAGCGTTCAACTACGAGAGTCGTCTAGCTAAGTGAGTTTCTGTGGGAAGATCATGGAACGAAATACTTGTACGGTCATCATGAGCAGGCAGTCAATCGTCGGTTTCAGAAACTACTAGGCTGCACATTCCCTCAAGCTCGGAATAAGTTCTAGGAACTGTTTCCTCAAACAAGATCGGGAGGGCAAGAATTCGCCGGATTTGTGGCTTAGAATGTTCGCCAGCGGTGACTGGCGTTTTCAAGGATGCGGCTTTGACACCGGCCTTGTCTCACTCAGAGAAGAGAAAATGGTTCAAGGTTGGCTTCGGGCCGAGCCCTGTCTGGGCTTAACAGGTCCGAGCTCAAAGCTTCGACAGACATATGCGCAGTGTTGGCATTCGAATGAATTCTTCACGCGAGTCAACTGGCAACAGTATAACAACACTCAGCAGAGTCCGGAAAAGAGAAGCCCGCTCCACTCGGAGCGCATCAATCCAAGGGACTGAGATCAAGTTCAACACCATGGCAGGGATGATGACAAGCCGGTTGACGGCAGTCAATAAGTCAATCGATAGTTTCCTGAGCGGATTTCGGAGCTATGATGGCGCGAAATCATCGCCTTAGTAGTCCGATCCGGAAAAACCTCCTGGATCGCCGACGGATCGCTCTAACAACTAGCTAGCTCCATCATCATCCCAACATGGGTCAGAAGCGACCAAGAGGAAATGGAGCACAACACGTTTCTTGAGAATTCCTCTCGGTCCGACCATCTATCGTTTAGAAAGCACCGAATGCACAGGACTGAACCGACACTGACGTGTACAATAATGACCGAAACAACAGTGCGGGACACCAAGCACATCGGTTTTCGACCATTCATCCCTCACTTACCCAAGCAGAAGACAGACGGATGCGGCTAACACCTGAATACTCCCGAGATCGAGTTCTGGTATGAGTATGATATCTAGCAACAGCCGGACGAGCTCTATGTGATCCTCTTTACTGAATCTGTATCCGTACAGATTTATGTATCTGTGGAGAAGAGGAAAGAAACTCTCTGTGAGATCCGAGCGGGATGTTCTCCCGTCAACGCAACGGTGTCACTGGCTCAATCCACGAAGTAGCGCAGACGATGGATGAACAAGAGCCGTCATCATTGCTCGACATCTGCCCTTTCAGGGCTCGAAAGCACCACCGCAGATCTCCAGGGAAGCCACACGGATAAGTTTTCCGACTCAGAAAAAAATCCGGGAACCTCGCACGTTCGACGAAAAATGGAATGTGTCATTCTGGCTCTCACCTCTGCAGGTGGAAGATCCAAGTTATTAAACCGGGTCGAATTTCCGCCTCGGACACACAGGAAGCGATCATACACTTGATCTCGCTGAATGTTTCCCTAGCTTCATCTTCCAACTGATCTGCGTACGGCAGAAGATCATTGTATTTTATGAGCCTTTCGGAACGATCTGTCTCATCCTGGGGTTTCATCACTGGGCTCTCACTCAGCATGCGTTCCGACCTGCTACACGGAGAGCTCTGCCAACGAACCCTTCGCCAATATGAGCTAGATGCTTCCCCTTTCCCCCGCTAACGATCCGCGGCACGGTCCCTACAGTTGTCCTCCTCCGCTCTCCGCGCAGGCCTTTACATCGAAGCATCGCGAGAATTCGTTGAATGTTCCCCTAACATGCGCTTCCAAACTCGTGGGTCCGGGAATCCGAGCAATAGATTCCTGAAGGACTCGTAATCCCGATTGAATCCTTAGTTTCGCGATTCATCCCTGAGAATAGCCGATTCCGCGCTGACAATCGAACCGTTCCGCCAGCGGTGGTTGTTTTGGCGGCGCGAGTAGCGGTCGAGTAGGTCCATGGTTTCGTCTGCCGGCAGCGTGAAACTCGCTGTAATACAAAGGTAAAACTTCATAAATTGTGTTCCTGATAGCTTGTGGGGATGAATCGGCGAGCAGAATGATGCTCAACTGTCCGAGATGATTCTCGTGGTGAGCAGTCTTCGAGACGGATCGGATAGCCTCGAGAGAAAGCCGATGCTTCGAGTATTTCGCCCCGGATACAGTTTCGGCTCTTCTTCGATCCCGGGTTCATTCGAATCGTTCCTTATGATCATTTCTGTCACGGTTACTGACAGTGACTAGCACTTACGGGGCATCTAGGAGATTTCCAGACCGTAGGCAAGAAGTTTCGGTCCGTAGGACTTCGCCTCGGAAGTCTGCTGCGGACCTGCGCGTATATTCATCCGATGGTTCTTTACTGTCCCTGTTCCCTAAGACTCTTCATTTCATCGAAAGTTCTCCCTCTTCAATCTAGGATGGCTCCCAAGGATCAATCCAGATGATCCATGTTGGAGACGGTCTGTCCACCGTATATCGAATTCTTGTTTGATTTTCAGAAATGCTCCGCTCCTTGGCGTCGTCAATTTTGTCCGCGATTCCTCGCCTGCCGACTCAACTCAGTCAGCTGTTCCCGGTCCGGACCCCTCTGGTCTCTCAAGTTCGATACAAGTGAGTACTATCCGACAGCTAGATCCGCGAGCATCGAATGGATATCCGATTCTCTCAAATAAGTCCATGCGCGCTCGGAGAAAGTGACAAACTGCTCGCTCGCTTTGCAGACGATACCGACATTACTCTGGCGCACTCAACGACTGCCTGATCAAGGATCGTAATTTAGAACTCATGCACTATTGTGGCCCACCGATAATACGCCCGAAGCCTCGCTGCATTATCGATTACAAGCCACAGATGAAAGGAGTAGTTTTGAAGACTGTCATCAAGAAGCCCAAAAAGCCGAATTCAGCGAATCGGAAGTGCGTTCTAGTGAAGCTTTCAAACGGGAAGGAAGCCACAGCGTATGTTCCGGGTATAGGACACAACCTCCAAGAGCATTCTGTCGTATTGGTGAGGAAAGGTCGAACGAAGGATGTTCCCGGTCTGAAGCTCAAAGTGGTCCGCGGGAAATACGATTGCGCGCACGTCGCTCCGCGTACTGGCGCATGAGAAGACAGAAGGGTTCTGGCGTGCTGTAGCGTGTAAGAGAAATGATAGTTCCGCATGAATAAATCTATACATATGTTCGACCTAGGAATTGGCTATTCATTGGTCTGATCCGAAGCGGAGAGTCGCGCGAGGAAAGCTCTCGGTATTTCACCACTCAGGTATCCTCGATCACGTCCGTATCCACCTCCGCCAGCTTCTTAAGCCTCGGGAGCTCTCTCCCCGGCAGAGTCGCGGCGTGGGGGAGCTTCCGCAGAATTTAGCTCTTCTGGTCGCTCCGGAGCAATCGGACCCCGGATCGAAAGAGTAGTATCCGTTCGAGGAGTGCGACTTCTTGCTCCGTCATTTAGCTCCGTCGTTTAAGCGACAGCTGACTTCTCGCCTGTCGTTTCTCCCATCAGATCGAATGCTATTCGTTGATGAACAGGATTTCGCTGCTTGTACGAGTTCAATGCGCTAGGAAGCTGTGCAGTGGCGAGCTTCGGTTCCCTGTGATCTCTGAGACCTCGAAGAGGTATCGAGGGGAGAGTCCGATCGTAGAGTTACCGCACGCGGTGCCGTAAGCAAGAATTTTCGAACGGCGGTTCTCGGCGAGCGTCAAAATGGAAAACGGAGTTTCATTGAAAGTCATGCGTCTCGCCAGGCCGTCGTTCCTCGTCAATAGACGCCTACCGATGTTCGAGCCCTGGGATTTTGATTCGCTTCCGTCAGATCAATTCAATGCAACCACCTTCGGTTCTGACATGCTGTGCCTCCCTCAGGCTTTCGGCAACATATACTTGGGTGAGACGTTTTCGTCGTACATGACCGTCCACAATGGGAGCTCATTGGACGTACAGGGCGTACAGCTGAAAGCCGAGCTCCAGAACGGGACCCAGAAGGTTGCGTTGACGCCAGTGGTCGTTCGCGGGAGTGACGTTCTCAAGCCGAACGAATCTTTGGATCAGATCATCCAGCACGAAGTCAAAGAGATCGGAACTCATCTTCTACAATGCACCGTTGACTATACGAACGCTTCGACAGGAGAGCCGATGCAGTTCTGCAAATATTTCAAGTTTCAAGTCTACAAGCCTCTGGACGTCAAGACGAAGTCATACAATGCCGAAAATGATGAAGTATTACTAGAAGCTCAGCTGCAAAACATAACAGCGAATCCTGTGACGCTGGCCAAAGTCTCCCTGGAACCATCGCCGCACTTCCAGGTGACCGCTCTGAACCAAAACGACAACGGAGAGAGCATTTTCGGTCAAGTCAATCTCCTGAATCCTCAAGATTCTCGCCAATATCTATTTTCCCTAATCCCGAAGAATAGATTGCCACAAGAGAGCAAAGTCAAGGGAACGAGACCACCCTTTGCCATTGGTAAACTCGACATAATATGGAAAAGTGCGATAGGCGAGAAAGGCCGACTCCAGACTTCTCAGCTTGAGAGAGTGGCTACTGTTTATTCCGATATAAGATTGGTCATCGAAAATTATCCTTCTAAAATTGAGCTCGAGACCCCGTTCACGATATCGTGCACAATCTTCAACACATGCGAGAGAGCCTTGGATCTGACGGTGTCCCTGGAGAACCAAGAAGGTCTCATGTGGTTGGAGAGCACCGGCTACGAACTAGGTCAGATTCAAGCCCACTCGAAGATGACGAAAGATTTCGCCCTGATTATGACAAGGTGCGGTCTTCAAACGATTGGAGGAATCAAATTCACGGAGAGTTTTCTGAAGAGAGTCTATAAGTTCGAAGACATCGGTCAGCTCATCGTGACCTGAATATTCGTCGGACGATTTGATTACATGGTCATCCTGAACACTGACCGAGTATATTCATGTCAACGCGTGCAATACCTTTCGGTGTGTAATAAACTTGTATTTATTTTGATGGTCAGCGTTTTGGTTCGCGGGGGTTGGCGGAGCGCTCTCTGTTATTCTACATTATGGCGTTCCTTCACAAGGACTCTCGGATCGTCACCTGGATCATGAAATCAGAGCGGTTCTCGCTCTCTAAGCTCCCGTAGGTTTCGGGCTCGACAGAAACGACCCCTATCGGACCTGAATTCGTCTCGTGAACTGTCATGACAATTTCGAAGTCTAGGCAACTTCAAGGTGGTATTTCATTTGAACGAGAGTCCCGAAGGCGAGAATCATCCTGAGTCAGAACTATCAGGCTCCTGACAAGATTTGAACCCTAAACGGAATCGCTCACGAGAATTGTTCTCATGGGGCGCAAAGTGTTCGCTTGGGGGATACGAATATATGGAGACTTCGAGGGAAATGACTGTTTGGAATGGAGCCAGTTTGGCACCAAGTTTTAAGTTTTCCCCGGTCCGTCACAGAATCTCAAGGCTACTGCGTAGCAAGTTCTTTTGTTCTTGTAATTAAGCAAAACTCCAGAAGCTATAGTTGGCTGAGCAATTATATTTCACAATACCTGGAACTTATCCCGATGGGTGAGGGTTTTCCATGCCTATATATATGCACCAATAAAGCTTGCTGAGTACCGAGAAGATCACGCAGACCCTGGTGCTCTGCCCCTGACTGAACACCACCACAAGCGTGTGTGTTTCTTTCGTATCAGTCATTCCGTAAAGTATCAGTGTCCAGTAAACCACCCTCAGTCCACTGTGCTAGCAGCAGGAACCTGAGCCTTCGAAATCTAACAATGACCAGGCGAAGCGACTACGACTGCCTGAAGAGTATATTGGCCGAGCAGAGGTGGGTGTCTCTATACGAAGAGCAAGACGCAGATATGAACTCAGAAATTTTCATCGATACGTGCTCGCCGGCAGTAGACGCATGCACCACCTACTCTGTAATAAAACCTCGTGACCAACCCATGGAGGAGTGGATGACTCCAGTGTTGGTGCGAGCTATTTGGAAAAGAAGCAAAAGCTTCCGACGATACAGACAGCAGGGATCACTACAGACGAGGATTCTATACGAGGCATATCGCTCGCACCTTAGAACCTCACTGAGAGCGGCGAAAGATAACTTTTTCAAGTCCAAACTCAAGAACGCGGAGGGTTGCCCGGCAACAACTTGGTGACTCGTCAACCAGTTCTTCAGAGGGGCTGCGGATCACAGTCAAGTATCCCGCGAACTGTCGACAGGAACCTGGATGGCGTAAACACATATTTCGCCACCCTGGGAGAGACTGCAACAGAATTGTCCCCAGACGAGTTCGATCCGTACACCGAGACGGGGATGCCTCCACGGAGAGAAAAAGATTTCCCCGGCTTCCCGGTGCCACTCAGGCACGAGTTGGTTGAGATATTGGAGGAACTGAACACCTCGAAGGCATCTGGGGTGGACAACATCCCCAGCAGGCTTCCGAGGCGCTGCTCCACGGTCCTTGCTGCTCCTCTTCTCGACTTGATCTCGACGATCATCCTCACTGAGAAATACCCATGAAATCTTGAGACCGTCCTCTTGCACCCGAGTCATGAAGCGGGATCGATCAACGACATATCAAACTACAGACCGATTTCGATATTACCGATAATCAGCAGGATCATCGAAAAAATCCTCGAGCGTCAAATCACGCGATTCGTTGAAGAAAAGGAAATTCTGAGTCCGAATCAGTTCGGTTTCAGACGGGGGAGAAAGGAGAAACTGCGAAGATGCGGCTCTGAGGCTGGTGGACCTTATTTCGAGAGTCTCGGACGGAGGCCCAAATAGTGCTTCAATTTTTTCGCGATATTAGCAAGGCATTCGACTCGGTAAACCATCGACGACTGCCCGCAAATTAGAAAGACGGGGTTTCCGAGGCGCAGCTCTGCGACTGCTTCACTCCTACCTCAAACAAAGGACTCAGGTCTTCAGATACAATCGAGAGCAGAGCAGCCCTCATCCGCTCCGACAGGGTGTACCGCAAGGTATCAGAATTCCCCCGATTCTCTTCGCAATATTCATCAACGACCTCCTTGATCAACCGAATGCAACGGCGATATCATTTGCTGACGATACCGCGCTGGTCGTCTCTCACGAGGATCCCCAGATGCTCAGTCGACTTGACTCGAGAGCAATAACGAGAGTTCACCATTGGATATCACAGACAAGGTCTGAAGCTCAACTCAAGAAAGACGAAATACACTCAGTTCGGAAAGAAAAACCACGACATGGAAATCTGCATTCATACGCCGAACTGCGCCGATCAGATCTCATGCGACTGCGGGACAATAGAGAATAGAGTCAGTATACACCCACAAGTTCCTAGGACTCCTTCTAGACAATAATTAGAAATTCTGCTCTCGGCTTAACTCAATTTGCTCCAAGATGCGCTCCGGCATCGCGGTTTTCGCGAGAATACGAATTGTGGCCCCTCCGTCACCCAAAAGATCAATATACTTCGCTCTTCTTGAATCACATATCCGGTACATGATCCACATATATGGAGGCACGTCGACCTCCCTCTTGTCGAAGATTCACATTTCACGAAAAGAGGCGGTGAGAATCATCCTGAACAAAGGGTACACGGGAAACTCCCCTACCTTCATCGAGAGTCTGAATATTCTGGAATTTAGGACGCTATACGCCCTTAACCTCGTGTATCGACTCAATCCTCTACGAACCCTCTTACCAGAGCACGAGCACCAGACCCGCTTCAAAGCGTCAGAGCGCCTGGCTCTAACTGAACGCATCTAAACCTGTAATAGAAGAACCCCTTTCCCCAATTTCATTAATTTGTACAACGAGCTGCCTCCCGTCGTCCGTAACTATACAGACAATCCCCTAATCTGAGGGAGAGACTTTGTCAGGAAAGTCATCAAAAATTACTACGCCACTATTACTTGCGATGAAATTAGAAGAATCCTCTACTGGCTCTGAAACAAGTATACATTAGGTAGAAAAGCTTCCCCCCCGGGCAGCAGACCCGATCGATTCTCCGACGTATATTCTCCGTGCGATTGTAACACGGGTTCACCCCAGCAGCAGGCACGTACTGTCATTGCAATCTTCATCGACGGTAAGTGAATTTTCTACGATTAAAAAAAAAATTCAGAGGTAGCAGCAGAGCCACTACCGTGTAGAGGACGTGAAACGTCTTCGGAATGGCCATTCGTAATTCGTATGACTCGAGCATCGTTATTATTTCTTTAAACTCAGCTCCTACCCGAGCGCAATGGAAATCTACTATCGCATAGGTAAGCAAGGGTGGGTCGCTGACATCGGGAGTCACCTCCATCGGATTGACTAGCATTGCTCCATCGCATTGCTGTGGGACTGGCTCACCGTATTCAGTCGACGCGCCCGCCATTGCGCTGTCCTTTCAGCACCCGTACGAGGCCGTTTACAATCACTCGGAGTGTCCGTGAACGAGACTTCCGACGTCTGGAACTGGCTCTTTTAGGTCTCATTCTCACTGGTGAAATCGAAACTCTCCACCGAAGTTGGGAAAATATCTTCTTCCGAGTGGAAAATATCTTCTTCTGAGTTTTGTTGAGCGCGCTCTGGAAATTTGAAATCGCCCTCTCCCAAGAGCAGCCATGTTCACGGGAGAATAGGGCGTATAGGGTATTGATCTGTGTGTGTGAGAATTCCGTAGGAAATTTATGAAATTGATTTGCCGTAAATTTGCTATCTAAAGACACCAACCGGGTGTCGATTGGTGTAGAAAGCACGGAGCTGCAAGGCGTCGAAAATTGACAAGTTTCGTCACACTTTTGGTGAAACACTAGGCCAACCTTTTTAAAGACGTTTCACGTCAAAAAATTAAACAGTCGCGTTGAACCACGGACGGATCCTTAGACGCACCGAGAAACTCATCGGCCTATATTTCTGAACGCTTCAAAAATACACATCCGATGACCGTCTAATATGATGCCGTGGAACTCGACTCATAGTCCTCCAGGAGTACGTATCCCATTATCTGCGGTCACACAGTCAATCTCCGGCTTCTGAATCTACGCGCCTGATCGAATCACCTAGATCAGGGGTGTCAAAGAGGTGGCCCGCGGGCCATTAGTGGCCCACGAAGAGTTTTCTCGTGGCCCGCGGCCGATCCTCGGGAATTCCATAGGACATAGGATAATATCCTTGTAATTTTCGAATCGCGAATAGAACGAGTCGACTCTGAAAAATCGAGAATCGATTGTGACCCATCATGCATATAGATATGTGTTTTTCTCCAGCTTTCCGCTCTCCGCTCAAACAACGTGAGATAAGAAGAATGTCGAAAAAATCTTTGGATATGGCCCGCCGGCTTCTCCCAGTGCTCCTTCGTGGCCCGCCGAAGAATGGACTTTGACACCCCTGACCTAGATGGTCGATCCGATGCAGCCAGCTTCGACCCCACATTGATCCTAGCCCGGAGGCCATACACTTAGGTCTCCCTACAATCGCATATGGGCTTGATATCTATTTGTATGCGACCCTTGCGGTCCGATTTCAAAAACAAGCATGCCTTCCGTAATAAAGGAATAAGTTTAGCGTCCAGATCTGAGGTATCAAGTTTCCTGGCAGTGCGTCGCGCGAACTCCTCTTGAAGCTCACCTGGGTATATCAACGGACCACACTCGCAGAGAACGTCACAAACATTCTCGGGAGACAAGCTGAATGAGCGATCGGGAAGTCCAGAAATCGATTGGTGCTGATAGCTTACGGTATCTCGCTGTATACAGAAGCCATTGTGTTGCAGCAGACGTCGTAGGTTCCCAAAATACAGAAGTTTGGTATTGGTCTCAGCGAAAAGTTCCTCAGCAAGATTCGAGAATGAGAAGGTTAGTCCCCTGATCTCTGTGCGTTTTCTCAAAGCTCGCAGACTCGATCTGTGGAGACCGAAACATTCGAATTCCTCTCTGCTATCCGACAGCGAGACGCAACGCATTCCCTCCAATTCTGACAGGAGGGAGCCCGAGGTCGAAGGGGGCTCATA